TGACCAGTATACTGCTCTGCCATTGGTGATAGTTCTGGTCATGTGATTTAAGTTTAAGATTTTCTAAATTTTACATATATATGAAACTTTCGTATAATTTTAACACAGTTTTATATCAATTTCTCGAGACAGGAACATCAGATAAAACTTTCATGGGTTGCGATCAAGAGCTATAGTGATTAGCTTTTGCCTATACCCCCTTTCATTTTTCCTTTACAGTCCCTTTAAGTGCGTTTTGAAATAGGTAAATAAGCCGTTTTAAACTTAATTATACTTCTTTCAAAACGTATGTGTATATTTCTTAACCTCTTTATCCAACTGATTACTGATTTTTAGAAAGGAACCTAATACCAGGAATACACAAGATGTAAGCCAGCCAAACTACACCTCAGCAAGCAGGAACTATTGAAAATAAAGTAGAATGCACATTTTCTTAGAAATTATAATGAAAAATTATATATACGTTTTGAATTGATTTTTTATTGCATTTTATAAATTCCCATTTAAAAAAAACATAGTTTTTGTCTCTTCTCTCATTAATTATCTTTGAGGCAACTAGCACCACTTCCTATGAAAAAATGATGATTATCACAAGTGGGAAACTTGAAATGAATATCCTTTATCTTGAGGACTTGATTTCGTTATCCAATGTGGGCACCTTTAATCTTGATTCTTAATCCCTTTAGTTTAATTCTCCTGCCGGGTATGACCACTAGGGGATATCAGAGATAAATCAAATAAGTCTGTTGGTCTGTATAAGATGGAGATCAAAGCATGATCACGAGATTCAAAACTCAAGAGTTCTGACTTCTGTGTCCGAATTTAATGAATTTAAGCCACGTCTCAAATCCTTCAAAAACCGGTTTCAATTGAGCGCTGGCTTAATTTTTGAAAAATTGAATATAATTTTTAGTGAAACTAACCATATATGAGCCACGGCTTAAATTTAAGCCGCGGCTCAAATTCTTTTAATTCATCCTCTGATCCTGTTATTATCATTATTATTATTACTATTAGCATTTAACTTTTACAAATGAGCGTTAAACAGATATCTGACACCCAGTCTTAGCCTTCGCTCTATGGGGGAGATCGATCTTCCCACACAGGGGTAAACTGTAATTTCATATTCAGTATTAAATTTGTTGTCATTTATATCTTAATTCCCTTTATAATTCAAAGCTTCGAGTTAATGGCTAGCGAGATATACAGGGTGTCCCAATAATCATGGGAGTTAAAAGACGACTTGGAAATTGTCTTTGATTTTGAATAGTGGATAAATGACATAAAGTCTATTAATTAAAAGGTTGTTTGTCTTATGTCATGGGATAGGAGAGGGTATTGACTCGATCACTTGCCTCCCCCCCCCCCCTGCCCCAAGAATTCATTATAGAAGCCCCGAAAAAAGAAAGCCAGTCGTCTAGTTCAAATGGATACAGGGTTCGGAAAAAAGCAAGATCTTTTTAAAATAGTTCTTTCTTGTGAAGTGGCTAATTACAAGGGCATCTTTTTTATAAAAATTAGCTGATATTTATGATTGAAAGATGTATAAAAGATCTACTAGCAAGAAGAAAATGAAGAACAAGAAATATAGAAATCTCAAAATATTTTCATCTGATATCATATAAGTATTTAAAAATATTGTAAAATTTAATTAAATTAAATTATTAAGGTTAATAAAGGTGTACGTCTTATAAGTTTTCCGAAATGGGGTCTCCTTCTTTATATCTTTAAAATTGACTGACTTAATAAACATTTGAACAATATTGGTGTTATTTGATAAATTGGAGTCTGGACAAATTTCTTAATATCTCCGTCAATTCTGAAGGAACAAAGACGATAAAGAAGTCGTTACTTAGTTCCATGTTTATTGGGACACCCTGTAGTTGAACTAGTTAGACCCAGTTTCCAATTGTCAAGCAGAAAAAGTTGAACAGGCTCCACCTAGTTTTTATTCAAAATTTCTCAACTTGGGGGGGGGGGGAGAAAATTTAGAACTTAATATTAAAAAACTTTTAACTTCCAGAGAAATTGACATGACAAAGGTGGATGTATCTGCTCTTGACTTTGCAGGCTCTGGTATGAATTACGAAACATATTCAGTAAAAGATAGATCGACATTTTTTATTTTTAGATCAGTCCCACGATTTTAGGAGTTATCAGGGATACAGAACATTACAGGTAGACAGACACAATTTAGGTTAAACTAATAGGATTTATTTAGACCCCAAAATCTAGGATTGGAGGAACAAAATATTTCAATTGTCTTGACATGAAAGTTCCACAAGAAAACTAAACAAGTTGTGTACTCCTCAATGTTATGTCTTTATTACAAAAGTTCTCAGGAACATTGTACACAGTATATAAGCTCGCGCTGGTCAAATTGGAAGATTAATGGATATCTGTTAACCCATTAGTAAATTTTAAACTGATAATAATCTGTTGGATATTTTAACCCTAAGAAATTTACAGAAAAGTACAAGTTTTAGGTAAAATACGTTTTTCCACTTCAATCTTTTTTTTTCTCTGTCATTAAAACTTTTTTAGATTTTCATTGTATTTTAACGTTTTTAAATTTTGTAGATTATTTTTAGTACCGACGATATTAGTGAAAATTTAACAAAAACATAATTTTTTATGTTAAATTCACTTTAAATAAATGATCTATATTTATCTTTTATTTTGAATTTTTATTACCCTTGTTTGTGATAACAGAAATAAATCAAGTAATACAAACTATTAAAGGCAATTTAATGGAGAGACACATTCTAGGAATTTTTAAGAACAAAATTTTCTCTGGACCTGCTTGGCCCTCTTACTTGTTCTAGCTGCAAACCTGGTTCTTTTCCACGTTTTTTCCTCTTGAAGACAGTAAAAAAACACGAGGTCAAATTGCAGCCTTAAAGGGACACCAAAGTGTAAATTACAAGTGACCATGCCTGCATTATAAGGTTGCATGTCTGATTCACAATAGTACCTTGAACACTTTTCAAGATCTACTGTTGTTTTCTTAATTAGTCATGCCTCTCTTTTAAATGGAGGTTTAGTTAAATCTGCGATAATGGTCCCATCAAAAAAATTTATTGAATTGCCTTTCCCAAAGGTTTTCTTCCGATAATTCTTCCCTTTTTCAATTGTTCCTTAAGATAAGATAAGATAAAGTTTATTGCTAAAATAAATGTATCTGTTTACAGATAGAGTTTACAATCACAAAATTGATGATTATATTAACAGTACAAGTATAAAGCAATTAGGCGGAAAATAGCTCTTGGCTGTTTTGATTATTTTTTCCACCTAATGTTAGTAATAATAACAAAATATTTCAATTGTTTTTAGGTTTTGCCCCGAAGTCCAGTTCCAGTGCGACTCTATCTCAGGTTTTAATTATTAAATTTGTTTACATTTTTTTCCATCAAAAACCAAAAGTTAATAAATTCGGGGGGGAAAATCTTGTTTTTCATAATTTTTTTGTTTTTAAACAAAAGGGGGAAAATGTTTTATTTTACATAATGTAAATTTGCAATTTGTTTGTTAAGTGGATCAAGAATTGGTCAGGCCAGCATCTGTGACATCAAGTAGGAACATTTAAATAAATTAAGTTTCTTATTTTATTTTTATTCAATTATTTTAGAGATATTGCTAAGAGAGCTAAGAGTATTTCTTCTCACAATGTGGACTGGAGCAAACTACCATAGACGTTCTATATTCTTGAAACCCTTCAAAATTCAGTTCAATCAAAGACTTCAGAAGCTTTTCAATTGTATTTTCCAAATATTGACCTAAGTTCTTAAAAGGTTGTACAATATCATTATAAGTTTTGTCTGATCTTTTCTCAAAGCTCATCAATGCTGAGTCCTTGCAATCTAATTTCTATTTGAAATCCTGAATATTGAATTAAATCTTAACTCTAAAAAAATTGATTTCCATAACTTTAGAAAATTATTTTTATTCAATTTGAGGGAAATTATCACTCTTAATATTTTCTGCTGTAGGGAAATAAAGGAACTTTGTCAGCCTACGAAAAAAGTAACCTTTTCGCTCTACAATTAAAATTTCAAAATTGAGTCGCCCTACAACAATAAAGTAACTTTATCGACCTTCTTTATACAATAAGTGGAGTAAGATTTAATAAAACTATACTTATATAATTGCAATTACAAGTAATCTTTCAAAACTTGAAATAAATGGTCAAATGTTATTTCTCTTCTTTGTTAACATCATTGTGATGTTCAATGGTTTGTGATTATTTAGTAACTCTAACATGTTTAGATTTTACCTTTATTGATAAAATATTATTTTAATGTTGCTCATAATTTGTTTGATTTTAGAAAAAATGGCTGAAAAGTCTACTAATTCCAAGCCGTTGCCAAGGTGTATTTATTGTTTAACCCCCTCAATATTCTCTTTTTATCCTCTCAAGGCATTACATGTCTTTCAGCTTCATCCCCTGCAATACCTCAATCCCCTTTGCATAGGACTCGAGAAATAATTGTTAAGGATTTTCATTATTGTATACATCTAAAACTAGACAAATGTTGAAGAATTTAATGAAAAACTTGTGATCAATTTGATTTTTAGGTCTCCCAAGGTTGCAAAGATACAGGAGGAGGTTGGCAAAGTAAGTTGATTTTCTATGATAAGTTTAATCTCCCAGGCTGCGAGTCTATTTAAATCTTTCTTCAAAGTAATTTCTTAAATTTTATCCTCATGGTTTTAATTGTGAATCAACATTTTTTAATAAAGTGCCAAAGATATGCTTTTAGTATTTTAAGGGATATTTTTACAGTAGCACTTAACATTTATTTGATACAATAGTTTCTTTAAAAAGACAGGTCGTCTTCTTGTCTTGTTATAAATTCTTAACAAACTAATCAAACAGAGGGTTAGGTTAAAAGATTTTTACTATAAGTAATCATCATATTTAGTTTGACAAACTATAAAACCCCAGTTTATTTTCGCACATAAAAATATGTTTAGAAATCTCCGATGCGATCGCCGTTTCGTGATGTGCTGAAGCAGCGATGTGCACTGAGAATGAGGAATAGTAGGGACAAGGTAATATATTTTGTCCTGGGTGTTCTCAAATAATGAGCAAAGATCACAGGATTTGGTGCGAGGGGGTGGGGGGGGGGGTAAGCGGCACACATAAAGCATCCATCCTGCAATTGACTCACTAACAAAGAGTGGAGTACCGTATCGCTTCCTAGCCGCACCCATATGTTGTTGCACAGGGACAAATTCAAAGATTTATTGAAACATGGAAAAAACAGGAGAACAGAAGGAATATCTTAAGTTGTAGTAGTTTATTTGAGTCCACGAGATGAAGAATTGAACCAGAATAAAGCAGTCAGACTGGAACAGCCTAGAGGGAGCATGGTCCACCCTAGGGTTAGGTTTCCATTTTGTATAGATTTGGTCTTCTGATGGAACTGATACCAGAGTATTATCAGTCTAATTTATATTGTTAGATACCAATTACAGGGTTATTCATAATAGATTATTTGTTCATTATCGACAACTATTCATTTCCTTGTTGTTAACTTGATTTAATGTTAAGTTTCTTTAATACTAAAATGTAAGGAAGGTTTGACCTGAATAATCGGTCAACTTGGGTTCAAATCTAATGATACGGAGAAATTGTACGGTTGTTTATATCTATTTATAACTTTTAATTGCTTTTACTAACAAACTGTGTCTTACTCATAATTTTAGAATATTAATTTAAATCACAAAAAGTCTAAAACTAAAACTCTTGACAATACCTTCCGGCAAAATGTCTCATAGAGAAATGCACTGTTAATATTATGATTAAAAGACGTCATGGTATTTATTAAAACCTAAACAGTAAACATATTAATCATATTTTTGATTTGTAACACGAGTTAATTTTAGAATATTAATTTAAATCACAAAAAGTCTAAAACTAAAACTCTTGAAATACCTTCCGGCAAAATGTCTTATAGAGAAACGCACTGTTAATATTATGATTTAAAGACGTCATGGTATTTATTAAAACCTAAACAGTAAACATATTAATCATATTTTTGATTTGTAACACGAGTTAAATTTCTCACTCCCTGAAGCTATAGTTGTTAAAATTTTGTTAAAACTGTGATTTATTGCGATTTCCTCCTAAAATGTAATATTTTGTACATGCCTATTGCCTGCTGATATTGATCTTCTTTAAAAATGTTTTTGGAGGGAGAGAGAATTTCAATTTTTCAGAAATAACAGTTTTGCATGCGATTCGGTATATAATTATCTAAATCTATCTATCTATTCATCTTTCTTTCGTATTTGTTATTATACGGGTGCGGCTAGCCTTTCCTTCCTCATGGAGCTGAAAGCAAATTCAAAAATTAGATATTTTCTTTACAATTTAAAAACCTACTTTAGATTTTAAATATAATGTTATATATTTTTGCCCAAATCGCTTGAAAGTGTTAATTTGTGTTTTATTTTTTAGTTGTTGAACAGTTTGAGAGGGGTACAGGGAGTACAGCAAGAAATCAAGGATGTGCTTAAGGTATTGAGTAAAATTATGTTGATAGTTCTCTTGAATAAAGTCATGATTATAATTTTTTATAATAAAACATTTATAGTTCACAAAAATATTAAATACTAACAAAATGACTGTTTCTCAGTTTTGAGATACGAATTGTTTTTAAAAAAATCGCGGATTTTCAAGAATTTAAATTTTTTTACAAAATTAAAAACCTTTAAAACACTTTTTTTTATCATTAATAAACCTTCCCTGTGGTCACTTGATGTCCCACAAAAAAATGGGCCCGATCGGTTCAGCCGTTTTGACGTTTATTGGATACAAACAAACAAACAGACACACCCAGACAGACAAGCCAAATTTATATATAGATTGCTTGATGACATTTTTATGCTAAGGATGAGGCGGCAGCAGTTAGAGGGGGGAGGAGAAGAATTTTAACTCTGGGTATCTCAGACCAAGAGGCTAGTAAAGGTTTTAAATTTTGGTATCTCAGACCAAGAGGTTAATACAGGTTTTGAAATCTTGGTATCTCAGACCAAGAGACTGGTAAAGGTTTTAGATCAATCTTGGTATCTCAGATCAAGAGACTACTGAAGGTTTTTAATCTTGGTATCTTAGGCAAGAGGGTAGTAAAGGTTTTAAATCTTGGTATCATAGACCAAGAGGTTAATACCGGTTTTAAGGGGGTCAGAACCTTAGAATCTCAGATAAAGACGAAGAAGTTGAAGTTTTTAACTCTTGTTTTCTCAGACAAAGATTTAAGCAAAGTTTCTAACTCTTGGCATGCTAGATCAATAGCTATGAAGTAAAATCAGGTAAAATCACGCCAACAATACTTTTCAAACAGTATCTAGTCAGCAAAGCAGTTGACTGAGGGCTTTGATTTTTTTTCTAACATGTTTTTTGGCATTACCTTTTGAGAAAAGTCTTACAATATGGGGACACTACGTTTAACAGTTATGATTCCTTTAATTTGTATTTTTTTCTAATTGGGCTCTACAGATATTTATTATCATTTATATAATAAAGTTCTTTGATCATTTATACATATATCTTTATTGGCTTGACCAAAGGAGCCTGAATTGACGAAACCAAAATACTAAGCCAAACAATCTGAAAGTGCACAATACCTGATTGACTGTGTGTGCTTTAGGTTGACGAAGCATTGGAAGATTTAGAAACTATTGAGGTTTGCAGATTCATTAATAATAATCCTTAAAACAAATTCAGTTTGTATTCGGGTCTCGAATCATAATTCCGTTGCGCGGAATTGTGCTCAACTGTGATGAATTGTATGCAATTGTTTTCATATTGAGTGGAATTGCGCGAATTGTGCTGAAATTACAGGGCCCGCGATTACGTGCAAGTAAAGTTTACTTGCGTTGGAAACCCTATAATCTATATTATGAAAATTGATGTGAAATTTCGTGAATCCAAATTTAGTGATATTTTCGGTAAATATTAGAGTCAAATTATTAATTAATTACAGAAGGAATTTGTGATGTCCAAATACAAGGAACAAATATAAATTCAAAACTCAAAATCATTGCCTCCATTATTTTTCATGTATTCTTAAAAAGTATCTATACCTTAAACAAATCTAAAATTTTCACTAAACTTCAAATTTGAGATTGATTTTTATCAAGAGGAACATCGACCAATGAAGATGTTTTATAGGAAAGTGTATACGTGACTGTCATACAATTTAGTTTTTTTCTTCCACACAATTATATCATATTATATGTTTTTATTACAAAAACTAATTTTTAAGTAACCCTTCATGTAAAGACAGCAATGCAATCAGTGATCAAGTATTAATTGGTTATCAATGTTCATAACTTTGAAAACTGATTGTTTTCAATTGAGGTTTTTCTACAAAATTGATTTGCGCATTACTACTGCAGGAAAACATATAAAATTATCTAAATTATCAAAAAAGAACGATAATATCACATCTTGATCAAACAAAGGTTTCAAGGGTACTGCTGTGAATCTGACTTGCCATCTTTTCATGGAGTGTAGTTTTAAATCATGGCTTACTAAAGTCTTTGTGAGAAAAGTATTAATATCTTAACAAATTTGTTTAAGGCGGAGTTGATTGAGGTTGCTGGGATTTTTTCTGAAACAGATTTGGTAAAACAATTTTCCTATCTAAATTTATCTTGTGATTCTGAATAAATTTTTCCTTTTTGAGTTTTGGAGGGCGTAAAAAATTGTTTTGATTATCTCACCTCGAACATTTTTTAGTACATGAAATGGTTAGCTCATATTTTCCAGATATCTCCTCAGCGTTTTGATTGTTTGAATTTGGAAAAAACGTTTTTAAAAAATATGAGCTATAAAAAAACATTTTACGGCTTGACCAAATAAAAAACAAGACACCTTCAACATCAAACAATACAAACGCTGAAGGAATATTCAGAAAATACTATAACTGAAAACCTTGTGCCTTAAAGATAAAAAATTCGAATATATTTTGCCTTGCAAACAAAAACAAAATTGTAATAATAAAGATGTACTAATTGTGTACGCCATAATGTGTACTGCACAGGTCATTCCCGGCCACATGTACTGCATCACACCTTTTAGGGCTTGCTAAGCTACAAGTACATGTTAAGAATCTATAAATTTTATTAAAAGATTAATATTTAAGAAATGTTAAAATATATTACAGGCTGTGGTTTGCCCACTCTGCAAGGTGTACCCTCTCTATTAAAAGATTAAAATATAAGAAATGTTAAAATCTATTACAGGCTGTTGTTTGCACCCCCTCTATTAAAAGATTAAAATATAAGAAATGTTAAAATCTATTACAGGCTGTTGTTTGCACCCCCTCTATTAAAAGATTAAAATATAAGAAATGTTAAAATCTATTACAGGCTGTTGTTTGCACCCCCTCTATTAAAAGATTAAAATATAAGAAATGTTAAAATCTATTACAGGCTGTTGTTTGCACCCCCTCTATTAAAAGATTAAAATATAAGAAATGTTAAAATCTATTACAGGCTGTTGTTTGCACCCCCTCTATTAAAAGATTAAAANAGTCACTCTATTAAAAGATTAATATATAAGAAATGTTAAAATCTATTACAGGCTGTGGTTTGCCCACTGTGCAAGGTGTACCCCCTCTATGAAACTACACAGGACAAAAATCCATCTTTTATGTTTTGGGTCTTTGATCTTTAGGCGAAGTCTACATGAATATTTGAACTTATTTCCTTTTCCATTCTTTACAGAACATTCCAATACTGAAAAAGTGCTTTAAAGAAGGATGGCTTGGAAGTAGTTTGAAGAAAATGGGAAAAATGGAAATTGGAAGAAGGAGTAAAACAATTTAACTGTCCGCGAATTGGGATGGAATCCTGTTTTAATTATGTATTGAACAGATGGATGGGTTGAACAGGGGAATCATGTTGATCCTCTACTAGTGTGCAAGGGTAGCTGTGGACACGTCACTAGTTTACATGGAGGGCTTACTGAAGCAGAGACCCAATTAGAAACAGCTGTGGACACTCATTCTCAGGTAGAAACAGAAGTAGACACTCATTCTCAGGTAGAAACAGGTGTAGACATTCATCTCATATAGAAATAGCTGTAACAACTGTAGACACTCATTCTCAGGTAGAAACAGAAGTAGACACTCATTCTCAGGTAGAAACAGGTGTAGACATTCATCTCATATAGAAATAGCTGTAACAACTGTAGACATTTATTCTCAGGAAGAAACAGCAGTATACGCTTATGCTCAGGTGGAAACAGCAGTAGACACCATTCTCAGGTAGAAACAGAGGTAGACACTCATTCTTTGGTAAAAACATCAGTAGACACGCATTTTCAGGTAGAAACAGCCTTAGAAACACATTCTCTGGTAGAAACAGCAGTAGACACACATTCTCAGGTAGAAACAGTTGAAGGCACTAATTTTCAGTTAGAAACAGACTCATTTTCAGGTAGAAACAGCTAAAGACACTGACTGTCAATTCTGGTATCAATTAATTTATCACATATTAATATTTACCAATTAACTTAAATATCTACTAATAAAATTGATATACTTATTTATGAATCTATCATTATCTCTACCCATCTATCTATCTATCTATAATGATGATAAATTGATAACCTATCTGGCAATTTTCTTTTGATAATTTTGGTTCTTTTTTTAATTAATTTAATGGTTTAGAGTTGTTCTGGAGATCTGATGTGGGGCCGAGGTCTAGGATGCATCCTTGGTTTCTGTGATCACTGTGATTACTGTGCAGCAGTTGGGGGGTCTCAGTAGAGATCAACTGATCAGTTGGCGGCAATCCTTAGAGATCCGCAGATTAGTTGGCGCCAATCATCAGAGATCCGCTGATCATTTGGCGGCGATTATTATAGAGCCGCTGATCATTTAGCGACCAACATCTGTGATCCGCTGATTAGTTAGCCGTAATCATCAGAGATCTGCTGATTAGTAGGCGGCAATCATCAGAGATCTACTGAACTTGATCTCTTATTGATCTCTATTGATTTTTTCCATATCTTATTATTGATTTTTTTAAAGACTTTTCTCCGGACAAAGTTCTCCAAAACTGGATTATTGTTTACCACAGTTTGAACAGTGAACAGTGAACACTGAACATAGTTTAAGTTTTATTTTACATGTTCTGTATTACATCCAAGATGATCGCCGGTTTTTATTCCTTAAATATTAAAGCAGAATACAATTCTACGCAGAGTCCCTTCATGTTCCCTTCATATTCCCTTCATGTTCCCTTCATGTTCTCTGATTTTCTCTGAAATCCATCCTCAGCTCTTGATTGATTCTCCGTCTAGTAAACCCTCACTTCTCCTCTCATTCACCTCAATTCATATCATGGATTTAGATCTGACAATACAAGGTAGGAACATTATACATACTATTTTATATAGACTGTAGAGTTTTGCTTAAGGGTGTCCCAATAAACAGTGAACCAAGAAGTCGATAAATCACAAAGTGTTTATCAAATATCTAGAATAAAACGGGTGCAGAAAAGGTACCATTTTAACGTCGGCGTAGATAGGGTTGATCTAATCAAAAAATAAATTGGGTTTCCATTTTTTATTTCTTGGACCCTTGAACCACAAGAGACGCTTTTCTTTCCTTTTACTCAATAATCTTAAGGTTGAAAAAAACAGAGTTCTTTAAAAAAACAGTCCTTTGTTAGTTTTCTTTCCTTTTACTCAATAATCTTAAGGTTGAAAAAAAACAGAGTTCTTTAAAAAAACAGTCCTTTGTTAGTTTTGAACTTTTTATAAACGGAACAACAATTTGTTAGTTTTATTGAAATAATGTAATTTTTGACAAATTTTCCTAGGTTGTCGTTAATGAAAATTAATGAAGGATCGTCGTTAACGATCCTTAACAAAGCTGGGGTTATTGTTAACGATCGATAACAAAGACACTGTCGATAAAAACTGTCAAAAATATTAACGACCTACTTTTGACGAACTTAAGAAAAGAAAACTTCGACGTTGTTTCGACGATCATTTATAAACCAATCATTTTCAAAACGATAGTTTCCTTTTTTCTACATTGTTAACAAAACGATCAGTTCATTTTTTAGACAAGTGAAAACGTTCCATCACCATTTTCAACTGTTGTAATCATACTATAGTTTTGCTTCTAAATACCTTATCCAGAATTAAAAGTTATACACTAGGGTCCTTCAAATGCATAAAAATGATCAAATAAACTTTGCTGGGTCACCCTGTATGTCAAAATAAAAGTGTTCTACCGCTGACTGCTAGAACAGACCAGTGCAAGGAGCAAAAAATTGTTTAAGAATTGTACACTGTGCATGCAGCAATCAGATCAATTACACATTTATTCATGAAATACATTTTTTTACGTTAATAGTTTTAATTAAGCGTTTTTCTGTTTATGAATTATGTAAGATTATTTTTGATTTTTGATATAGTAGAAAATAAGAATTAGGTTTGTGAAGGGACTGTGAACGTATTGCACCCGATCACAACGGTTTTCTATGATAATAAGAGGAATATTTAGGGATCACTTTGAACAAGGGTCCCATTAAACCCCGCAACTGCGAGAAAATAATTAAAATTAAAGTAAATTTTGATGTTTTCCAGATATTGTGAGTTGGATGTTAAAACTAGCTTTCCTGGGATTAGCAATCATCAATACGATTCCTAACTCTCTAATTCTCTACAACTTGGTGAGAAGGGTTTCTTTACATTAATAATATGATGTTCTAATAGTAACAAATCCTTTGTCAGAGCTGAGTTACTTTGAATACCCTCCCGTCCTTCTATATTGAATACCATCAAATATGTTGCCCCCTCCAAAAAGATTCCGCCAACATAATATTTTTAAATTGAAATTAATGATGCGAATGATTCTTTTGAATCGAATTGCAATATCAAAAAAAGGAATTTGGTTGGAACAAAATTGAAACAATTTGGTTTAATGCATTTCAGAGATTTTTTTATTTGAAAATTGTTCGTTGCATTTTCAATGTATTAAGCAGTGAACACTTTACTTTTGGATACTAAAAGATAAATAACCAAGTGAGAGGGGTTGTTTGTATACATTTTTTACATATTGAAACAGTCATACAACATTTTTATTTTTTTTGTTTTTTCAAATTTGTTAATCATTTGCAACACAAGCACTGTAATACAAGCATTGTTTACAATTTTATTTTTTACAATAGAACTGTTTTTTTAGCCGTCCTTAAAGAGTTTTAACTAATCCCATCTCCTTAGTTCCATTTGCTATTTCACTGGGATAATCTTAGGTTCGGCGTACATCTCTCTGGACTGGGTTTAATGTAGGAGCTGGAGTTCTCAACTTCTTAAACCTAACCCTACTTAACATCAAGGTTGGATAAAGTTCTTAAACCTAATTCTACTCAAGGTCAAGGTTGGATTTACTCCTTAAACCTTGCCCTATTTAATATCAAGGTTGGATTTAGTCCTTAAACCTGATTCTACTCAACAGCAAGGTTGGATTTACTCCTTAAACCTAACCCTACTCAACATCAAGGTTGGTTTTACTCCTTAAACCTAACCCCTACTCAACATCAAGGTTGGATTTACTCCTTAAACCTAACCCCTACTCAACATCAAGGTTGGATTTACTCCTTAAACCTAACCCTACTCAACATCAAGGTTGGATTTACTCCTTAAACCTAACCCCTACTCAACATCAAGGTTGGATTTACTCCTTAAACCTAACCCCTACTCAACATCAAGGTTGGATTTACTCCTTAAACCTAACCCCTACTCAACATCAAGGTTGGATTTACTCCTTAAACCTAACCCCTACTCAACATCAAGGTTGGATTTACTCCTTAAACCTAACCCTACTCAACATCAAGGTTGGTTTTACTCCTTAAACCTAACCCCTACTCAACATCAAGGTTGGTTTTACTCCTTAAACCTAACCCTACTTTACATCAAGGTATGCTTTACTCCTGAAACCTTACCCTACTCAACATCAAGGTTGGTTTTACTCCTTAAACCTAAGCCTTCTCAACATCAAGGTTGGTTTTACTCCTTAAACCTAACCCCTACTCAACATCAAGGTTGGTTTTACTCCTTAAACCTAACCCCTACTCAACATGAAGTTTGGATTTACTCCTGAAACCTAACCCTACTCAACATCAAGTTTGGATTTACTCCTTAAACCTAACCCTACTTATAATCAAAGTCAGGTTTACTACTTAGTAATATGCAATCTGCAATCATTATGTGGATATCTAGGCCGAGTCCTTCTCAAAAACAACCGCCAAGATTTTTAAATTCATTATTTTTTATTTGCTTTAAAAAAAGAAAAAACGTATATTCACATTTTTATGATTGGGAGTTTTTATAGTTCTATTTGATTGATTTATCCTTCTTTTATTCTATACTCTTGATATTGATCAAGATGATTTGATTTGATTTGATGGTTGATAGGTTTAAGCTCTTATCAAGGCTAATTGTTATATTTAGTTTATCATCTACCCTTTGATTCTGATCAATGGAATATCCTGGTTCTCACAAGGTACACATTTCGATTGCATGATAGATTAATTTTTGACTATTTGATTTGATTTAAAAATTAACTTAGCAGTTCAGATGAAAAGATCTAATTGTCATGTTTTATCTGTCTCCTGATTAATTCTATCTAAGTTGCATTTTTCAATCAAATTTGCGAATTTATAAAAATTTTAGAAATGATTTAATTGGTGACACTACATATTCTGGAAGAATTTTTGTCCATTATATTAATTTTAATTTTAAATAAAATTAAATAATTTTGAAATCATGAACTGATAATTTTCAGACTTAAACACCGTATTCCTGTCTGGGACCTCTATCAGCGTGTACTGTCAAGGTAATGACCAAATTGGGTTTAAAAGTTGCGGCGACCAAATTCATGACATCACTTGACGTCAAAAGAGAGGTTGACATAAGGTAAAAAGAGGTTTGTTTTACGACTTTGAGACGTCTAAAATGGTCTAATTAGTAAGGGCTCTTGGACCTACAGTACGTCATTTTGTAGTTTCTTTTGACGTCCCATGGTTGCTAGGAGTTGATGTCAAGGACCATTTTTGAAATAATTTAGCAAAAGCTTGCAAACTTTAACTTTTTCGTTTAAGCTTGAAAAATATTTCTTTCAAATATAATAAATATTGAATAATGCTTCCAAATTTAACCCTCGTTATTTCTTTTAGTAGTTTACATAGTCGGAAACTTCTTCCACATTTTTGAACTCTTCATTAAATTCTTTGGAGTGTATGCAAGGTAACTCGTGTACAACCAAAAATAGCGTAAATTAAAGGGACTGTTCGCGTAATTTGAAGTTGCCCTTCCATGCAAAGATGACAATTCCAGATTCCCAAACTGGAAAACTTTTTCTGATCAATAAATGTAGAATATATTGACGTTTTTATATCTTTCAAATGTTTAGCTTCGATAATTTCAAATCTTTTCTTGCAGTAGAAATGCGCGAGTCACTTCTGTAAAGAAATCACAATTAAAAATATTCAGTTTTTAAAAATGATTAACGTTCGCAATGCTTTTAAGAGTACTGATGGCTATATTGTATGGAAGATCACTTGAATTTTGCTTACAGTCCCTTTAAATATATTTGAAGTTGTTTTTAAAAAAGTTGTATTTTTTGGTCTTTGGATGGATGTTTTAAGGATTTGAATTAATTTTGCTTATTTATGTTTAGATGGTTCATCATACGGTACCCGGAGAAGCTTGTCGGTGAGTCTTGATAAACATTTTTTATCAAAGCTGGTGTTAAAAAGAAACACTTCACTATTTTTCTCTCAAAGACTTGATTATTATCCGATCATACTAAAATTAATTTCATCATGTCTGGTCAGTTACATCCCCAAGAGATATAATTCAGAACAAGATTGACCAACTCCAATAATTCGATAACCATTTGCCATCGTAGAAGAATTGTAACATTCATTTTTATTATGAAAATATTTAAGCCTTTAATAAAAAAGGTGAGTTTTTTTACACTCTAATCTTCAATTATGTTGAAAAATTAATTGTTGGATATTTTCTGATTTTTTAAAGTTAAAAAGCAAAATAAAAAATAGTAAGCTAATTACTGATTACTTTTGTATCTAGGCATCATTTGATAAAGAAATATGTATATCTGCAACTAGAGATGGGCGAATTCGATTGTATTTCGTTTTGCTGAACGCTAGTTGTTTTAAAAAAATGAAAAAAATCGTTTGTTCACTAAAAACTAACTTTTTTATTTTCTTCCAAAAAATTGTTAGTTCAGTTAAAAAAGATCGTTTTTTTTTTCAAATCTTTGGGAAAATTTGTTTGTTCAGTAAAAATCGTTTTTAAGCTCGTTTTGAACAGTTTTCAATCGTTCGTTTGTTAATTTCCCTGACGATCCATTTCGTTCGTTCATTGTTCGTTTTTTTTTTCTAAAATGGCACCCTAATTCACGAAAAATTTCGCTCGTTCAAAAAAACGATGCCCATCGCGAACTTCAAACTGAGTGATCAAGCAAAGCTTTGTTGTTCTTTTTCGTGGCAATGTTTTATTTAGTGGAAGGTCTGGGTATTCTAAACTTCTTAATCCTGTTGCTACCCTTTCTGTACAGCTGTATTGTGACTGGTAGCTGGATAGGTAAATTAGAAAAAAAATTATATTTTTTATATCCCCCCCCCCCTGTCAGGGCCTGTCAATGAAAAATTAACTTTATATAATGGATAAAGTAAATTTTTGTCAGGGGGGTTGGGGATGTTTGTTTTATTAAATATCAAATGTGGACTGTCCAAACTTAATAGGTCTTTTTAGATTTACAGATCCCAAAATTTTATATTTTTTATATTTTCTCCCCTCAATAAAAAGTGAACTTTATATAATGGATAAAATAAATTGTTGGTCAGTGGGGTTGGGGATGTTTGTTTTATTCAATTGTGGACTGTCCAAACTTAAAAGGTCTTTTGAATTTACAGATCCCAAAATGTTGAGACGAAAAAATGTCTAAATTTCTTTTTTTTCAGGAGAAAATAAGGCAAATCCACTGCTGCAGTACCAGGTACAGTGAGACACAGAAAACTGTGGAATAGGAGGAAAACTCGAGTTATACTTTTAGAAAGTTTCCACCGGAATTCCGGGTTACGGATTATGTACGTATTCTGTAATTAAAATTATTTTACGATCTTTGGTTTTTCTCTTCTATTTCTCATCTATTGTAGAGTCCGCCCTTTCCAAATACTGAAAAGTGCCTGCAAAACGTTTCGTTTTTAATTCCCAGAGTGAATATAAATAATGATTTATTTTAATTTAGCTCTGCTGTATGACAGACCCTGCATCTATCCCAGAGTGAATATAGATAATGATTTATTTTAATTTAGTTCTGCTGTATGACGGACCCTGCATCTATCCCAGAGTGAATATAGATAATGATTTATTTTAATTTAGCTCTGCTGTATGGCGGACCCTGCATCTATCCCAGAGTGAATATAGATAATTTTTTATTTTAATTAAGCTCTGCTGTATGGCGGACCCTGCATCTATCGCCAAATCCTATCCAACTAAAAACAGGAAAATCACAAACTTCTAAATTTCAAAATTTTAAGATGCTGGTGATTGTTTAATCCAAGCATGATGATAATGTCTTCCACATTCTTTAATGTTTATGTATACAAGCTTTTTTAACATGTGGTGCTGTTAAGAATATTGACGACCATCTTGTTTTGCGTTACCAAATATGGTATTATCTTGGTAAGCTCCGCCTGTCGTCCAGCCGGCCCTTCTCTATATTTAGTAACCTAACCTAACCTGGAAAAGGCAGCTGCCTAAACGAGTTACGCGCGTTTGCGCCGTGGCTAGAACAGGCTCTCCCTCTGTCTTGTAATTCAACGGGGCATGCGCGCGTAACTGCTTTGGGCCTTTTCCCCTGGAACAGTATGCATACACTTATACATTCAAGAGGTTGGGGGATTCGATTGTGGGCTAACATGTGAACATGGATACTTATATTTGCTCTGGAGTTTTATGTCCAATAAGCCTGAGCAAAGTCATTCTTTTTTATAAATCAAATTTGTGTCAAACTCTGAAATCCAGACTGTTCCATCCTGTATTCTCCCTTCTTCTCATCTTCTTCCTTGTTCACAATCAGATCAGAGCAAACAGGTTTATCAGGTAAATACTGGTTTATCACAGAAATTACTGGTTTATCAGGTAAATACTGGTTTATCAGGTAAATTACTGGTTTATCAGGTAAATACTGGTTTATCACAGAAATTACAGGTTTATCAGGTAAATTACTGGTTTATCACAGAAATTACTGGTTTATCACAGAAATTACTGGTTTATCAGGTAAATTACAGGTTTATCAGGTAAATACTGCTTTATCAGGTAAATTACTGGTTTATCAGGTAAATTACAGGTTTATCAGGTAAATTACTGCTTTATCAGGTAAATTACAGGTCTAACATGTAATTTACTGGCTTATCAGGTAAATTACAGGTTTATAAAGTAAAATAAAGGTTTATCAGGTAAATTACAGATTTAACAGGTAAATTACAGGTTTATCAGGTAAATTACATGTTTAACAGGTAAATTACTTGTTTATCAGGGACATTACAGGTTTAACAGGTAAATTACTGGTTTATCACAGAAATGACTAGAGTTGAAAATTTATGAATGCGGTTCAATTTGAACTACAGACTACAGTATATGCCATTTAGATGAATACAAAGGTTTCCGCTCGCAGCTTAAAAAAGATAAGATAATCGGATCGAAAATAATCTGAATTTAAATTTTTTTGTAATTGTAAATGAATATTAATTGTCCTGCGAAACAGCTAGTAACAACTGATCATAAATAGGCTTAAGAACTACATTCTACAAATTCTTTTGTTGTTTTCATATGAAAAGGATTTACAGCACGTAATTTAATGTACTGATTACTGATGAAATTATTAAAATTGCTGTAAAAGTTATTTAAATCTAATTTCTAATCATTTTAGTTGGCCAAGAGACAATTGGGTCAGCAAATCTGACTGCTAGTTGTCTCAAACAATGAGATAACTTTGCATTATTTAGCTGGTCCAACTACCTTTCTTTTATTCATAATTTTCCATCCCTGTATGGTTCATTTTTGCACTCACTTATTTTATCATCAGTTCTTCAAAACCTGTTATTTCAGTGGTCTGTTCCCACGTGGTCGCTTCTCCGCTGTCGGAGGAACCTACCGAAGATCAATATTGGACCGAAACCAGCTCATTCAATCTTGCCTCTTCGAACTTCTCCTGATTCTCCTTCACGAGTTGGTGTTTCTCCTCATGTACATGTACAACATGTACAGCGGCGTCGTCAGCCTAGCTGTACATATGCTAATGGATCTATACATAGTCTGGCAGGCCTGGCAGAGCTATAACATATGTCTAACAGAGTATCCAGTTCTTTTCAGTGAAAAAAACATTGACATCTTCCCCAGCAAGATCGCCCAGTTCTATGGAAGCGTTTTGATCAGCATCGTTCACAAGCTGATCAAATTGATCGCTAGGGTCAACCCTCAGCAGATTCCTTCTTCGCAGGATCTTGAATTGAATAACGTTTAATAATCTAAAAAATGTTTATATTTGCTTTTACTGGAGCTTTAAAAAATCAGGCATGTCAGATTCATAACGCTTATCCATTATCTGATCCATAATTGACGGAAGGTTTTTTATTCAACGTCGTAAATCTGAAGGTTTTCAGTCTATTGATGATCATATAAGGTGAAATGTGTATTGTAAATAAAGCTTATTGAATGAAGGGTCACATAAAAATTGCGTGTGCTAAAAACATTAAACATTAAATAAATTCAGTATTTTAAAAAAAGATAATTTTTTAAATTCTTGATAGAATTTTACTTGTACATTAACATGTGATTTTTTTTGTAACCTTGATCAATTTAATGTAAAACTATCGGAAATAGTTTGTAATGTATTTATATTTATAAGTATTGAAATAGATAATTATTCTACTAAAAACAAGCCTTGAAACCCAGCTTTGTCTGGAAACTAGATTTTCTCTGAATAAAATCAACCTGGTCAACGAAATATTAAAGGGGTATAGTCTTAATCAGGGGTGGGTGTCCCCCCCCCCTGCATACGGAACTTGTTTAATCTTTCTTTTATTTTTGTTTTTCGTTTTGTACAGATTTTTGGAAGCTTTTGCTTTCCTATGTAATTTCAAAGTACACTTTTAACCCTGAATAGGCTGGGGAGGGGCATCGGCCGCCCCCCCCCTTTAAGTTTTTTGTTTGCCCTAATTTTTTTCAAACCTCGATCCTCAACACCAAACTATTAAAGTAAGCGGTCTTATATTATTGTCCAATGTGCCTAGTAAAATTGTACTGGGGGGTGCCGATTTGAACGCCCCCCCCCCGGCTGTACATATTTTTAGAGCCCTTAGCCTTTATTGGGTCAAAGGACTATTAGTATAAGAGACTAAATTTTTTCCGTTAGATTTCAGGTCGTCATTAAAATCTCATTTTTTGTATGTAATTTTCCCTCTACTAACGAAAAACTAGAAAGAGCTTAATTGGACATCGATGTCGCATTTCTTGTAAAGTTACCAGGTAATTTAACTTTGAATCCCTCAGTTAAAATAGGATGATTCTTGTAATCCATGTACCGAAAATATTGTGTCAAAGGATATACAAAAAGTCGTCTTTATCAAAGAAATTTTGGGCAATTTCTTTTAATCGAAAAGATATAAGTATTACTTACACGAATGTCATCTACAGGGTGTCCAACTACTTGAAAGTCGTCTTTGGTATTTGAATTTATTTGTGACATTTAGTCTTCTATCTACTTTAACATGTATGATTCTTGAAACAATTATCACATAATTCTCCTAGCCCTGGCATTTCCAAAAAGTGGTCTGCGTTATTTGTGCTTTCAATATTACCGGAGATATAAAGAGTTTGGTTCAGATTTCAATTTTGTTAAATAAAACCTAAATTGTCGAAATCTGAACGAAAGTCTTCATATCTCGGGCAATATTGAAAGCACAAAAAAGGCAGACCACATTTTGGAAATGGCAGGACAAGGGAAATTTTGTGATTATTATCTCTAGAAATTTACTTCTAAAATTAGGTTGACAAATAAACGCAGCAAATTATATAAAAAATCAAGACGACATTCAAGTCGTCCTGCATACTGTCATGTTTCGTGGGACACCCTGTATTAAGAAAGAAATCAAAGTAAGTTTAAATCAGCGTCCATGGTTGGTTTAGGCCTTACTGAAGCTATACTTAGGATTTAGGCATACATATGTGCGTGCGCGTAGCAATTTGAAATGTACATATTATATATAGTAAAATGGGAATAGATCAAATGCCTAATTTCAAAACAGTTGTCTGTCTGTTTGTTTGTATCCAATAAACGGCTAAACCGATCGGGTCCCAATTTTGTTTGGGACCTCACGACCCCTGGGAAGGTTAATGAATAATAAAAATTTCACAAATTAGCCTCCAACAAAATTAGATTTCCATTAAATTCTGAAAATCCAAAATTTTTTTTTTATAAAATCTGGTAATTAAGATTACATTTTGAAACAGATGCGGCTTATGACATTTTCCAGAGAGGGGGGAATAGTTGAAATTTTTTTTGAATCTTCTTAAAATCAAAATTGACGTACTAAGCCCTCTCTTCTTGCGCTCCTAATTTTTCCCGGGTGGGGGATCCCCCCAAATTCCCAGGGATGGGGATGTCACCCCAATTACCCCCTAAGCCGAGCTGTTTTTAAAGGCTCCGCACTCAAATTGTAATTTTTTTCTATTTAGAGATTTGTGTGTAAATATATAAGCTTTTAGTGAAAATTGCGCTTTCAGTGGTCAAAATTAGGGATGGGCAACGAAACGGAATTTTTCGAAAGTTAAAGGAAGAGTCGGTAAACGAATGGAAATAACCAGTAATTTTTTATACGTTATCTATTTTAAGAAGCCATGCTGGTAAAAAAATACGAACCGCCGGTTCGTAATTTTTGTTAAATTTGTTTAATTACGTGTTTTGGTCTTTAATTTTTTGCCAGCTATTTTTACATTAAATAATCGTTAACGGCTTGTTAACAGCCATGCAACTGTTAACATTAACGAAGGGAATATTCCATTCTTTGCTAAATAACGAACGGCTACCTGCACAGCCCTAAACGAACTGCAAATATTTATTTCTAAGACAAATTTTAAGACGTATTTCTGGTTTATTTATAAAATAGTCTCTTGAACATTTATAGAAATAAATCTGTTGGTGCAACAAAATTTCAAATTGAAAAGAAGACGATAAATATTCTGATGTTTTCTGGTTACCACTGTATACAGTTATAACCAGAAAACAATGTAATAAGAAGACGACATTATAGCAATTAATTTTTTTGATTTGTTACAAAGCAAATAGTTTTACAGGACACTTTTTAGATCGCTAATTGAGTAAAATGGGTCTGTTTACACTTCACAATTACTGTGTCTTGTGCTCATTGGGCTTTTTAAAGTTATAACTCGATTCTTAAAGTCGTCATCCTATTCCATAGTTTTCTGGTCATCACTGTTAGTATATACTTTTGTTAAAATATAATATATTACATATTGGCGTATGCTCGGATGTAATACTGCTGTATAGAGAAACGTGATAGGAATACTCAATAATCACAGAAAAAGGGGAAAACGTTGAATATTTGAATACCAGGGTTTAGACAATTTTCAAAATTTAAAATTCAACAGCAATTGGCATATTGTGCTACGATGGTAAAACCCGGAAAAACCGGGGCGTACAACTTGAGATAAAGAAAAAAGTTTCTTTTTCATAAAAGTATCCTGTAAAGTAATGCAGGGTTATCCAAAAAAAATGACACTTCAGAGACGACTTAACAGAATTTATATTACTGTCTTTCCTTATTTTACTTATGATTCCCTGCCATTGTAAAATTGTTTCTTTATATTCCAAATCATTAACTATGCCATTAAAATTTTTGAATTTTTGAATTTAAACATGGGATCGTCATATCATAAACTGTTTATTCGTCTTTACAGTCGATCTGATCCTTTATAAACAACCCTAAACGATTGGTAATAATTTATAAGAATGGATTTTGCGACCTAAAATTTCATTATGTATCTTAAAATAGGTTAAGTAGGTTAACTTATAAGTAAAGTTAATGTTGGATGGGGATTGGGGATTGGGGATGAGACCTGATCGTGGTGGAGTCTTGGAAGTGCGTAGGAAGATTTTGATTCCACAGGAGGGAATTCAATTTCACTTCAGGGGTTTGAAAAATCGCTTTTGAAAATTTTAAAGATATCTGAATCTCTCCAGTGGAATTATGAACCTTCTGGATGGATATCTGAATCCCTCCAGTACAATTATAAACCCCCTGGATGGATATCTGAATCTCTCCAGTGTAATTATAAACCTCCTGTGAAGATATTAAAATCCCTCCAGTGGGATTAAAAAAAATACCTGGATGAATATCTGAACCCCTCCAGTGGGATTATAAACACCCTGGATGGATATCTGAATCCCTCCAGTGGAATTATAAACACCCTGGATGGATATCTGAATCCCTCCAATAAAATTATAAACCTCCTGGATGGATATCTGAATCCCTCCAGTGGAATTATAAACCCCCTGGAAAGATAACTGAATTCCTCCAGTAAGATTATAAACACCCTGGATGGATAGCTGAATCCCTCCAGTAAAATTATAAACCTCCTGGATGAATATCTAAATCCCTCGACAGTACAATTATAAACACCCTGGATGAATATCTGAATCCCTCCAGTGGAATTATAAACCCCCAGGAAGGATATATGAATCCCGCCAGTGGAATTATACACCCCCTGGATGGAAATCTGAAACCCTCCAGTGGAATTATAAACCCCCTGGAAAGATATCAAAATCCCTCCATTGGGATTATAAACACCCTGGATGGATATCTGAATCCCTCCAGTGCAGTGGAATTATAAACCCCCTTGAACGCTATCAAAATCCCCCCAGTGGGATTATAAACACCCTGGATGGAAATCTGAAACCCTCCAGTGGAATTAAAAACCCCCTGGATGGAAATCTGAAACCCTCCAGTGGAATTATAAACCCCCTGGATGGATATCTGAAACCCTCCAGTGAATTGTAAATCACCATGCATAATGTTTCAAATTGAAAAAAGTGCTGTAAACCAGTGAAAACGAAATCCCTCCGGTGGTCTCCAGTAGAATCGAAATCTTACTAAGAACTTCTTTGAGTCATCCTGGTAGGGAGTTGTTGTAAATCTGAAAAAGGGAGTATATCGTGATGGGAGTTAAACTACCCAATATTTTATCTTAAACTACTTTGTAATTAGTTCAAATATCATTTAGTTGGTTTGTTTTAAAGGGAACGTTCACAAATTTGGGTAATTTAATGGCCTATATATTGGTATTAGTCTTATTTTATATCTATATCTATGATATGTTTATCGTTTAGAATACCAGCGGATAGGTGTTATACCTTTGTATGACACTATTCAAACGTTTATTTAGTAACAACAGTCCGATAAAATCTGAAATTATCATATTTCAAGGACATCATGTATCTGTCATTATATAATAAAATATGAAACTTTTGATTTTAGAATTAGCAAGAAATTACCGTTTTTGTGTTCAAACATAATGTAACAATTTAAAATAAGTTAAATTGAGAAAAAAGACAATTTTAAAATAATTTTTAAAAAAGTTAAAGATATCTACAACTAACTATTGGATATTACAATTTAATCTAACATTTGAAAATTTTTGAAAATCCATGACTAATGACTAAAAGCATCAACAAGTGCAAAGGCAAAGATAATACCTTTGCGCTGGAATTCTAAATGATAAATAGGTTTTTTCTCAGACCACTGGTGAATTTGAAAAGGAGGACTTACACCAATGAGTAGCTAATAGGCTATTTAGCTTACCCACAAATTACCCAAATAAGT